TAGAGCTGTATAAGCCAGAAACATTTTCCTGGTCAGAAGAAGAAATTAATCAAATTTTAATTTGCGCACCAAACATTGGATTCCCACAGTGTTGCCAGCTTTTCTACAATTCTAAAAAATTGCAGAAAGAACGAATCAGATTTTTTGAAAATCCTTTTCATTTTTTGAATGAAGCATTGACAAGATTACAAGAATGTTCCGCCCTTTTGTTTCTCTTCCTCAATGATGGTATGATAAGTGTAAAAGATCTTGATCAAAACAGTCAAAAAGTCAACCAAAAATTGCTGGAACAAGCTTTTGATATCAATTTAATTGATGGTGAAAAAGACAGTACCAAATTGACAGATAAGAAAAAAGTAGGATTTGTAAAAGAAAGTTTAGAAAATTTGTTAGGAATTTTAGTAGTGAAAGAGAAATATTGGCGGTCTGGTGAGGATGTGTACAGATTTAATCATGATTCTATTTATGTTGCTGTGGCACTTTTGTATGGACAAGCCACACTGATTGGCTACATACAGAATTGTCCCAGCAAATTCCTCAGTTATCTAACAACCTCAGACACAGCTACAAACATGATTGTCATATCATCTGATTATTATAAAGAAATGTGTGAGCGTCTACTCCGAGAGTTTGAATGTGCGACGTATCCATATGATACTTGTATTGGCTCTCTAGATGTATGGAATGATCCTGAATTTGTTAAAAGATTTGTGAGGTTGTTGAATGACAGAAAAGTTGACAAACTTGATGGGTTGAAAAAAGCATGTTGTTCTGGTGCAGAAGAATGTGCTTTATATCTTCTGTCAGAAGGTGTAAAACCTGACCAGTACACAGAATTGTGGTCATTGATTGACAGATATTCGAATGATAGTAACAGACAAGTGTGTTTACTTAGGAAAATGGTTGTATACTTGAATGATAAGACAAAACTTGCTGTGTTGAATAAAGCATGTTATTCTGGTGCAGAAGAATGTGCTTTATATCTTCTGTGTGAGGGAGTAGAACCTGACAACGAGACACCGCTTAGAGTGGTGGAGGGAGGGAGTGTGAAAGTGTTACGTAAACTACTGGAGTATGACGTCACCCCTACAGCGAGGGATGAGTGCAATAACAATGTCCTACATGAGGCGTGTGTGTATGAGAGAGAAGAGATGGTGACGTTGTTATGTGACACTTACCCACACTTGGTACATGACACTGATTGGTGGGGACAAACCCCGCTCCATTTTGTGGCACGGAGAGGAAACTGTTCTATGTTACAGACAGTGGAGAGGTGTGTACTTAACTCCTTATATAGAGTTGAGGACCAACAACATAAGTGTGAGTCAGTCGATGGTCTTGTAGTTCATAGGAATTGTGCNCATAGGAACTGTGTGTGTGCTCAGTACATGGCTCAGTTAGTGGATTGGAGGGAGAGAACGGTGTTACATTATAGTTGTATGTGGGGTAAGAGGGAGGTTTGTTTATATTTATGTCGGTCGTACCCAGCACTAACTACAGCTGTAGATAAGTACGACCGCCATTGTCTACATCACATAGCTAGTTATAGGTCAGATGTAGACATGTTCACTGAGTGTGAATCTGATGTTAAACAACACCTAGAGTATACAGGACGTAAGTATGACATCACAACCATACTTGACAATAGAGGGGAATCTGTTTTAGACAAAGCGAAGTACCGGGCGACAGAAAACAACCCTTTGTTAGATCATCTTATTAAAGTGT